TGTGTGTGTGTGTGTGTGTGTGTGTGTGTGTGTGTGTGTGTGTGTGTGTGTGTGCCAGTTTGCATGGCTGATTTAACTTTTTAGTATCCCTAGGGAAATTTTTGTGTGTGTCTCCCCTATCTTACAGGCAGAAAGAATAATAATAATAGCTGACATTTATGTAGAATCATATAGATTACAAAGCATTTTCACAAATGTATAATTTGATATTCATCACAACCCTGTCAAGTAGGTTGTACAAATATTATTCTCCCTATTTTATAGGTGATGAAACTGAAACTCAAAGGGTTTAGATGCAGGGTCATAGAGCTACTTAATGGCAGAGGCTGGATTCGAACCCATGTCTTTAGACTTCAAGTACACTGCCTTTTTCATTTCATAAATACTGCCTTCAGGAATTAAGAAGACATATATCTATATCTACATAAGACCACTACTAAAATTCAGCAATTCTTCATTGTGGGGAGACAGAGTTTGGCTCAGTAGAAGACAGATTTTCCTAACACAGCTTTCCACAACCAGAACTGCTTCAGGGATTCATCATTTCCTCATATTATTAATAACAAAAATAATGGATAGTTACATAGTACTTTAAAGTTTACAAAGTATTTTATGTTTATATTGATAACGTACATATGCATACATATATACATACATTAAAAAAACTCACTCATACCTCACAACAACCTTGGGAGGTAGATATTTCAGGAAGTTTATCTTCATTTTTTACAAATGTATTTAATAGAAAGTGATGCTTAGAAAGTTTAACTCGTTTGCATACGATCACACAGGTATTTGGTGCTAAAGGCAGGATTTGCACCAAGGTCTTTCTGTTTCCAAATCCATCACTACATCTCCTGTAACATACTGCTTCATTGTGGGGTGTTTCTGTAGGTCTTAGATGATCATTTTTTGTAGCTGGAATTTATGATTTTAGTTGGAATTAAATTAGGTGACCACCAAGAATCTTAAGAGTTGGAAGAGATCCCTGTGGTCAATTAGTCCTGCTCCCACAGAAATCACGAATCGCATCTATCAGCACTGATTCTCTAGTAGCGTATCTGGGAAGTGAGTGCCTTCACATGCATTTTGAGGATAACTGTTGTTCTCTTCTTCAAAGGTATAAAAACTTTAAGAAACAAACTCATTTTTGTGGTTTCACATGCTTTCTGCCCTCTTTAGTGAGGATCTGGAACATAATTTAATCATTGCTTCATGACTCTGAGTCATTTTTGGGAGCATTGATTATTTTAAGCTGCTGAAGTACAGTGTGTTGAGGTCTTACAAAGAGGGCTTCTTTCCACTCTACTTAACAAAGAATCGTAATCCTATGTATTTTAGAGTTCAGAAGATCATCACTTTAGATTGGGAAGAATCCTTAAAGGTCATTGAGCCCAACTTCCTTATTTTACAAGAAGAGAAATCTGACACAAAGAAAGATCAAGTAATTTGCACAAGGTCAAACAGGTACTAAGTGACTGAGCTGGGATTTGAATCCACTTACCCTTACAAAATCCAGGGCAGTTTCACTGTGCCTTCCAAAAATAAGAACTCTTGTTTCTGTTGTTAGTCATGTCTACCTTTAGCAGCCTCCTTTGTTAGCAGCCATAGCCATTTTTTCTTTCCAGTTTGGTGCTTTTCAGTTTCTATAGACTGGGAAATCAGATAGCTAATGGTTTTTAAGACTGTGCCTAAAATAAAGAGACTTTATGTATAGAATCTCCAAGGGATCTTCCTGTGAGTAAAATATGTATGTTTTTGGACTTTGCGATACTGATGTGTGTAGGAAGATACTGAAAATATGGAGAAAGATTGTCTCCTTTCTAGGGGAGTATAATGAGGGACAATAAAAAAGCAGTTTTGAGTGGTCTTCTCATAAGATTCTCACAGAACCACGTAGATAACGTATGAAATAACAAGGCCATTTGTTGATTTGAATGTAGTCATAGAGACTTATGTTGTTTTCCCATAAGAGAGGCTAGAGACAGGCACAACTGGCAACAGCAAGAATTTAAAAGAGATATGAAAAGTCTAAAAAGCATGATGGACTCAGGCCATTTAATGTAGGGGCAAACGCCTACCTATCTCAAGTATCTCTAGTACTGTAGCATATTATTATAAAGTCCACAAAGTTCTATTCTAATGCCTCATGTGGTATGGTGGTAACTGGGTTCTGGAAGGCTATGGCTGTAGAGCGTAACCTTGGACAGGTTCTGCCATGCTATTTCTGCCTTAAATGTTGTCCTGGCAACAGACTCTGTCTGCTTTTTGATTGACCAATGGCTAAAAATGGAGAGATTCATCACTGATAGGCAGTCCACTTGTTTTCTGACCATAGCAACTCATGAAACAAAGAAACATTCAAAATGGTTGTTAGTCCTTTGCGGCTACCTTTCACTTCTGTGGTGACAGGGCAGAGTGGTGGAAAAGGTGACAGAGGATACTAAGAGTCAAATAGTTTTTAGACTATTTATAAACCTTTACTCAGCTCTTGGTACTTGAAATATGAGATCCTCGTCCAGTGACTTGGTAGGCATACTATTGGAGGTAGACATAGTACTGGATTATAATCATAATCTATCTTGACATTCTCATTATAAATGAAACTAAAAGACAAAAGGATGTTGCAGCTAAATTGAAGACTAGCATATAGGTTTTCCTTAGGCAAATAGAGTTGGTAGAGTTGATTTTATTACGCTTCCAAAGGCAACAAAAATCATGATTTCATGGGACATTTGGTCATCTAGTATTGTGTTGCTTATATTAAGTATTTGCAGAGAGGCCACCATGAAAATAACTGGAGCTTATGTGCCAAATACGTATCACAGAGCATCAGGATATAGAGAAATTCTGTGAAGAACTTGATAAGACCAAATGAAATCATGACATTTGATTCTTCATGACATCAGTGCAAAGGTAGGAATAGAGGAGGACAGCAAAAAATAGGTGGGAAAATATGGTTTAGGATTAAGGACCCTTATGAAATAATTAGAAGGCAGATTGAAAAGTCTCAGCATCATTAGATATGAAGGAGACCTATTAAGGTTATCTAGTCCATCCTTTTCTCTTGAGAATTTAGAAAAGATTCAGTGAGCCTAATGTAATCTAAGTAGATTAGAGGTAGTTTGAGTTTTAAAATGTTTTTTAAATAAGTTTTTATTGATGTCTTTTGTTTTTTGTATCATAACTTTCCCCATTTCTTTGTCTACCTGAGAGCCGTCCTGTTTAATAAATAGTATTTTTTAATGACCAGAAAAAAAAAGAGGAAAAAAATTGGCCCGATTAATACATTGAAAAAGCCCAAAAATATGTGCAATCTTTAACACCTATAGACCTCCCACTTCCATAATGGGGTGGGTTGGGGGTATCATCTCAAATCTCTTCCTTCGAGTCATGCTTGATCTTTAGAATATTGTTATATTCACTTTTGATTTTTGGGGTGTGGTTGTTCTTTCCATTTCTCTTGTTGTAGTTATAGTATATATTGTTTTCTTGGCTCTACTGACTTCACTCATGCTTATTCATGTAGATGTTTTCATGCCTCTCTGTGCTCATCACATACATAATTTCTTACATCACAGTAATACTCTACCAAGTTTATGTCCCACAGTTTGTTTAGTTATTCCCCAATTGATGGCATCTACTTTGTTTTTAATTCTTATCTATCAGAAAAGGTGCTACTATAACTATTTTGGTGTACATGGTATATAATGACTTCCTTGGGATATAAGCCTAGTAAGGGAATCTCTGCTTCAAAGGATATTTGCATAATTCCAAATTGCCCTCTAAAGGGGTTGTATCATTTCATAGCTCCATCAACAATATATTAGTGTGCCTATCAGCCCATAGCCCCTCCAACATTACTATTCAAATGGTTTTTAAAATCTCTAGAAGAAATTCCATAAATCTCTCTTATTTATCTTTTCCCAGGTCCTTCCCTGGCTTTGTGTCTTCTGTGGGTTAATTTAATATGGTATTTCATTTTAAGAAGCCCATACAGTGCCTGACCTTGTCAGATCAAAGGAAATCAATACATGACTTAATAGAGACTCATACTGTCATAAATATAGAAAGTATTTTCTGTTTCCTCTCTCCCTGTGATGCTGTGAGTCCTGCTTCTGTCTTCCACACTATCTAGTACCTAGTCCTGCCTTCAGCCTGGACAACACCTACGCCAGTTCAGTTACTTGGGAAAATGTTATTAAAAGTAGCCAAGGTAGAGAAACTTATATTCTAGAAACACCTTCCACTGATAAAAAATCACAGGCTCAGTTAAAAGAAAATGGCCAGGGAAAGGAGATGATCCTATTTTCTTAATGTCATGTGATGACTGTACCTGTCCTTTTTGGTTCACTTTAAAGTCCCACCATTTTTGTGAAGCTTTCCTTGAGTTGTTATTCAAAGACAAACTGATCACTTCTTTCTTCTGAACTCCATTATACTTACAGTTAGTAAGTTTTCTACAAAATTTAGCATTTACTTTGCTTTCTGTGTATGTTTTGTCGTCTTAATTGTAGGTTCCTACAGAACCAAGTCAT